GCACTAGACACTAGATACAGTCGACCACTTGGAGGTGTGAAAAAGCTAATGCCAAACCAGGTCAACACTGTCCCTTGGCATGGACCCTTGGCAATTTAAACAGATAATCAACTGGTAAAAGTGAATATGTGGTGCCTACGCGCCAAGTACGGTAACGAGGTAATAAAAGTAGTTTAATTATTTTGTACAAGTAACTTACGGTAGTGAAGTCAGCGGTGAAAATTTTGGTTTCCACCTTGAACTGGGATTCGATTTCGTTGGCCACCTTCATTAGTTTTTCAGTTGACCTACTTATAAGGAACACATTCAGTCCACTACGAGCCAACTCGTGAGCAAATGCTTTGCCAATGCCGTCTGTTGATCCAGTCACGATGGCCCAATCGCCCGCTTTTTTCAGGTCAGCGCGTTTGGACAGGAAGTGTCGTAGTAGAAAGTAGGTTATGATAGGACGAAGGAAGGAAAACACGCAACGAACCACGGCCATTGCTCCAATCACGGCAAGAATAATTAACGCCGACATGGTGGATGGTCCCAAATTGGTGATTAATGTGAGGCTAGGTTGGAAGTCGTGAACGCAGGCTACAATGACAGAAGAGTAAATAATGACGTGGCTGCATGGCAATGCTGCAGTCCAAGAAAATAACTATGGGTATATGCTAAGAAACAAACTTCGGGCAAATTACGGCAGTTGCGAGCCACTTATCAGAACATTGAGGGTCAAACAATGGAAGTGACTTGCATCTCAAAGTAACAACACAATGTTTATGCACAGGGTTGTGGAACACAGGCCCCATCTACACGAAATTGTTTATATAACGAAATCGGAGGATATAAAAGTCAACGGAATTGAGTGGTACAAGTTTCCAACGTGGCAGTAATATAACTCAGGAGCTAGGTCTGAAGTCGAGGACTCTTGAATACTTTTAATTTGACATCTGCACTTAAGTATCTGTCTGTTTTTGGTCTTAAACTAACACATAAAGCACTTAACTTAAACTTTATTAAAGATATGTACATAAAAACCTTATAATGCGTATGTGTATTGCGTGGTGGTCAGAGTTGTTAAGAATGACAAATAATGGGCTACGCGAAGTACATACATTACTCTAATCAGCTGAAATTTGTGTGAAAACGGACGTTTATTTCATCAAGTGTATCTAAGCAAATGCGATATGTCGAGTCAGCTGGGTAGACGAATGATGAGTAAAACCTGATAACAAAATCTCATGCATATGCCTAGTGCATATGAGTCACTTGGGGAACGCGGAGGGCGGCGTCTTATGGTTTTTGACCTAGCTTTCTCAGCGTACATCTCTTATCGCTCTGAGTGCAAAGGAGAGTAGGCCGAAAAATAGGCTTGACATAACTGGGCTTACAAACCGCCAGAATCCCTTGGTACGGAGGGTTATGCGGCTGTTTTACGTGGATGCATAGCGCCTAATACAATACAGTAGGCATCGGTTTTGCCATCAGGGATGCAATCGGTTCTTTATTCAATTCAATATTTACTATAGCTATATTAAATATTGAATCGAATAAAGAACCGATTGCATCACTGATAGCAAAACCGATGCCTACTGTATTGTATTAGTGCGAAAAACTTGCATGCAATCATGTTTCATGTTTCATCAGTAGAGGGCAGGGAACGGAT